TTATCTTCCTAAACTACCTCTTCTCTTTTTCTACCCCAGAACTTCACAGCATTGCTACTCTCTTTGTTATTTTTTCTTCATAGGTGCTCTTTCCTCACAGGGTGACTCCATCACTAATAGGCTTATATACTACCAGCTTGTTTTCTTAATAGCTTTATTGAAATAGTCGCATTTTTATTTTGCAGTACTAAGAATTGAACCCAGGGGCTGTCATATGTTAGGCAAGTGCTCTTAACACTGAGCTACCTCAAACTCCATATATTATATATATTTTGTTGTTGTTGTTGTTGTTGTTGTTGTTGTTTTTGCAGAACTGGGGATTGAACTCAGACCCTTGTGCTTGCTAGGGAAGTGCTTGTTTATTCTACTGAGCCATCTCCCTGGCCCAATTTATTTATATTTTAAGACAGGGTCTTGCTAAGTTGCCCAGGCTGAATTTGGATTTAGATCCTCCTTATTCAACCTCCCAAGCAGTTGAGATCATAGACATATGCCACATGGCACAAAGCTCAATATTTCTATTTAAAGTATACAGTTCATTTATTTTAGTATATTCAGAGTTGTATAACCATTGCCACAATCAATTTTTGAACATTTTCATCACCCTAAAAAGATGCTTTGTGCCTAATAGCAACCACTTCCTGTTCTCCCCAACCCAGCCCTTGACAACTGTTACTCTACTTTTTGTCTATGAATTTTCCATTTCTGAACGCTCTGTGTATGTGAAATCTTGTAGCACATGCTCTGTTTGATTTCTTCATTTTGTATAATATTCTCAGGGTCCATATGTATAACATATTATCAATGTTTCATTTCCTTTTATTGCTAAATTATTTTCTGGATAAATGTTTTGTTATCCATTGTTGATAGGTATTTGAATGTTTTTCACTTTTTGGTTGTTATTAATGCTGCTGTACACATTTGTTAACAAACTTTTATGTATGTTTTTAAATTGTCTCTCTAGGAATGAAACTGCTGGGTCATATGATAACTCTTTTTTTTTTTTTTTTTTTTTTTTCCTTCCTCGAATGCCTTCAGGGCACTTTTGGCCAGCGGGAGAGTTGTGAGGTTCGAACTCCAGCAACCTGAGGCTGACAGCTTTGTGGAAGCAGCCACTTAAAGGACTGAGCTAGGGCCAGGCCCCCAATATGATAACTCTTAATGTTTAACTTTGTGAGGAACTAAAGTGTTGTCCACAGTGGCTCTACCATTTTACATTCCCACTGTATAAGGGTTCCAGTTTCAGTATATGCTTGTCAAAATTTGTTATTCTTTGCCTTTTGATTGCAGCCATCCTAGTGGGTTCTAAAGTGGTATCTGAGTTAATTCATAATTTTAAGAAATTTTTTTGTAGAACAAACTTTTCTGTATTTAGGGCAGGGTCTACAGGGTGTTCAGGGTCTCACTATGGACTTGTAATGATTCTTCTGTTTACAGCCTCACAAGTGCCGGAATTACAGGCGCTCACCACCATGCCCAGTCTCAATCAGTGTGCCCTGGGGGCGGGACCGGACCCTGGCTGCTGTGCTCTGCCTAAGTGTATGCTTTTGTCCGCTGAGCTATCAGGCTGGCCCAGAAGCTATGGCTGTGACTCATCCACATGGCTGACACTGACAAAGGATCTACAAACTGCAGTACAGGGTTTCAGGATAAATCCTGAGGGGATTTGATTGATCTTGTCAGATACAAAAGTTACATTTCTTGTTATGTAGGTCTTGCTTTATCTTGGTCTTAACCATCCAGCAGAAAAGTATAAAAACGAAGTATAAAAAGTAAAGTCATATTAATATGCTGAGCTGTAAAAAGCTAAGTCAACAACTTCTGACTTTGCTAGTGCTATGAAAAATCCACTACTATTATGGAGTACTGGACTATATTGGAATATTTTGCTGAATTCATACACATACAATATTTAAATGACAATGGAATACCTTTCTTTGACAAAACTAAACAAAAAGGGGATACAAATGAATTACCATTTTGTATCTGTATAATCAAAATAGGATAGATAGGGGCTGGGGAGATGGCTTAGTGGAATAAGCGCTTCCCTGGCAAGCACAAGGGCCTGAGTTCAATCCCCAGTTCCACAAAAAAAAAAAAATAGGATAGATACACAGATACTTTCTCTTAATGAATAGAAAGATTTGTTCTAACAGTGTTTGTGGACAGGATATCATGTCTGCATCTTGTATAATGAATAACCACTAAAACAACAATATGCAATATATCAATATTGAAACTATCCTAATCGGTTTTGAAACTGTCTCATTGCTATTTGTTTCTCAATAAAATTATTTAAAAAACTCTTAAAAGATAAATTTTACATGTATAAAAATTGAAACAAGCCATGTGTGATGACATGTGTCTGTAATCCCAGACCTTGAGAGGTCAAGACAAGAGATTCACCATTTGTTCAAGATTAGCCCGTGATACATAGTGAATTCAAGGCCAGCCTGAATTATAGAGCAAGACCCTGTCTCAAAACAAAAGAGCAAAAAAGGCTAGGAATGTAGCTTAACCAGATAGATCACATACCACCACCTAGAAAAATTTGTTTTACAGGGTCTCAAAAAGTTAATGGGTTGTGTTGAAGCCATGTGCCATTTGAAATTCATATTTCCCCATAAGAACTAAATTAACATGGGCATGTTATCTCTACCTAATCAGTAGTTGAAATAGAAAGTTATTTCCTCCTTTATTTTCACCGTAACTCTTAGCTGAAGAACCAAGAGACCCTGTGGAGTTGCTATTATCAGAGCTTTAGGAGCCATACTGTATATCTTTGCTGCATATTACATTTTTTTCTGACAGCCAGTTTAATTCTCCCATACCATTCCTTGCCACCAAATATCTGAAGCACTAACTTGATAATTTTGGAGGGCTCCAATCCTCTGAGAGATCCATAAAGATTTATATTATTTAACTAGAACTAAGCAGGGTCATTATCATTGAGGCTTGTGTTGACTAATAGAAGTGTTCTATAGCAACACTGTCCAATATAGTAGCCACTAGTGGCTTGTGGCTTTTGAGCACTTGAAATGTGGGTCGAGTGTCTGAAGAGCTAAACTCTTTTTTGTCTTTTTGAGCCAGGGTCTTGCTATATAGCTCAGGCTGGTGTAGAACTTGCAATGATCTTCCTGTCTCAGCCTCCCCAGTGCTAGGATTACAGGCATGTGCAAGAGCTAAATTTTTTATTTTAAATTTAAGCAGCTACATGTGGCTAGTTAGATAGCACAGCTTTAAACTGAGGTTTTGATTAATATGCTTATGAGTATACCAATTGAGGATCCTTCATTGCTGGATTTCACGGCATCCCTGTAGTCATAGGCAGTAAGTAAATAGAACTTACTTACAAACTACTTAAACATTTAGAATTCATGTTAAGGGGTTTATGCCAATAGACTTTTATATAATCATCTAAGTCTAACAAAAGTGTTAGGTTAATCTCACTGGCTATACATTTGTGACTCTTAAAAATACTTTGTGTATGGGGGTGATAATAGGGATTGAAGCCAGAGTCTTCACACTGGGCCACTTCCTCAGCCCTTTATATTTTTGAGACAAGGTCTTAAGAAGTCTCCACTTTGCCCAGACTGGGCCCAAACTTGAAATCCCACCTCAGCTTCCCAGAGTGCTAGAATTACAGTGTGCCATCATACCTAGCTTATTTTATGTTTTTGATAGCCATAGATACTTAAAGTTGAGCAAGAATTGTCATATTTATATACTTGACACATGCATTACCTTCTTGTTTCGGGACAAAGCACTACTAAAGTAGTTGAGTTGAAGAGATGTGTAAATAGGTTTTAGAACTAGAGAACTTTGGCCAGTCACGGTGGAGTGTACCTGTAATCCCAGCAGTTGGAAGGCTGAGGTAGGAGGATTATTGCAAGTTCAAGGCCAGCCTGGGCTATGTAGTGAGTTCAGCACAAGCTTGAACTACATAGAAATAGCCTGTGTCAAAAGAACTAGAAAAAATTGATAAAGGACAAAATTCACTAGAAAATCTTGTAATATAACAAGGAAAAATTTGCTCTTGCCAATCTGAGAATAAAGATAAATGTGAAGGCTGAATTAGCTCTGTACATCCTACTTTAGATTTTGATCTCTTATTTTTTTATTTATTTATTTTTGCGTGTGTGTGTGTGTGTGTGTGTGTGTGGCCAGCTCAGCCCACCAGGGGGCGGGGCTGGCTGGCATGTGGTGCTGGGGATTGAACCGTGGTCCATGTGTTTTTGCTAAACTTGTTCTAAGTAGGTGCTTTAGACCACTGAGCCATCTCACCAGCCCTAATCTCTTATTTTTTAATGTATGTATTTGGTACAGGGTCTCACTACTCAGCTTAGACTCATAGTGATCTTCTTATCTCAGCCTTTCCCGTGCTGGGATTGCAGGCATGTGCCACTACGTCTGGTTTCAGTGGCTGGCTTGGCACGGGCCTGGCACTGCATGCAGTACTGAGATCACACCCGGGTCCTTTTGCTTGCCAGGCAGGTACTTAGACTGCTGAGCTATCTCTGTCTCCCCAGCCCTTGATCCCTAATTTTGACTTACTCATTTTGCAACAGAAATATTGTAAGAGTACTATTTTGTATATAAAAATATATAAAATATGCATGAGAAATCAGAGTGGAATTTAGAATCAAATTCTTATTCTAATTAAAACAATTCAAATGTAATATAAAAATACATTTAATGTTAATAGCTTTGTAATAGTACTAGGTATTGAACCCAGGATCCTCAAGCTGAGACACATTCCCCAGCCCTTTGTAGGAGAAAATATTAGGTGTGTGTACATTTAACTTAACAAAATCAACTCCAAGAGTAGGTATCTATATTTTATAGGATGGAAAAATAAAACCTAACTTGCTACCTTGTCTAGTGTCATGTGAATTTTCTGGAGATTTAAATTAGAACCACAGATTTGTAAAGGAAGTTTCATGTTTCACTTTTTGAGGTTAAAGTTACTAATAAAATTGATGTTATGTATTTGTTATTAGGTGACTGAAGCTTGATGGATGACGACAACCCTTTTCAACAAAGAAGTAGGTATTAACTGCTGCAATGGTAATAGTATGCATATTGTATTGATAATCTTTCTTCAAGAGAAGAGGTAATAGAGGACACATTTTCTTAAAAATAAAGATAACAGGTAAATGGATGCAACTTGAGACTATACACATAAGTGAAATAAATCAGACCCACATGTGTAAATATCATATTGTCTCCATAGTGTGAGAACCTGAAAGAGTAAATAAATCTGAAAGGGTGTGTGTGTGTGTGTGTGTGTGTATGTATTGAGAGAAGCTGCTCAAAAGGAATGAACAAGTTCGGATGAGGGAAAGGAGAAGAGAAAGGAAGGGGGAAAATCATGTATGTATATACACATAATTGCTAAGATTCTTGTACTACCAATTTCTATTGTTTAGAAGGCAGCAGTTTATGCTTAAAATTTTTATTTTGACCAATTTTACATGCTTGTATCTGGTAATCTGAGCAACTGCATTGAAGACAGCAATGCAATATAACAGCGATTGTTGAATACCTGTCACCTTGGGGGGGGTTTGAACTTGTGTATCATTTCTAATGTCTTATGTATTATTTGTTTGATTTTCTTTGAGAATAAAACAAATAAAATTGAAAAACTAAAGATACTTAGAGCTGGAGTGGCAGTACATGCCCACGTCATTGCAGCACTCTGGAAGGGTGAGGCAGGAGGATCCCAAGTTTTATCCCAGCCTGGGCAACTAAGTGTCTTAGCAAGACCTTGTCTTGCAAAAATAAAAATGCTTCCCTTACAGTGTGATTTATTGTTAATGAAAGTTAATACATTTCACCAAAAAAATAAAATAAAATAAAAACAAATAAATAAAAATACTGGGGGTGGGGATATAGCTCAATGTAAAGACCTTGGGTTGATCCCCAGTGCCACCAAAACAGAAGAATAAAAACACTTAAATTTGTGAAACCAATGCATATGCAGGGTTAAAGATGAACAATATACAATAAAAGTGTGAGCAAAGTAGATATTGAATGTTTCTTCCTAAACCACAAAGATAGTTATTATAGTCTTGACAAACATAACCATAAAGTTTCTAGCCAGATGGTGTGGTACACACCTGCAATCCCAGAACTTGGGAGGCTGAGGCAGGAGGATTGCTGCAAGTTTGAGGCCAGCTGGGACTCCAGAGTAAGTTCAATGCCAGCCTGAACTGTACAGTGAAACCTAGTCACAAAAGGAAAAAGAAAACTTTCTCTACATATAAATAAAAAAACTATTTTAAAAAACGATTATGCTATATATGAGCTATTACGTAGCTTAATTTTTTTCCTCAATAGTATATCTTAACTGTATTGATAATGAGAATGCCCAATTTAAAAGAATAAGGAGGACATACCTATGTGTTCACACGTATCACTATATCATTTTCAGTATACATTAATTTCCTTCACTTTAAATTTGGTATTGACTTTTCCAAGTTTCTTAGCTTGTAGAGTATATGTCAGATGCCTAGTGTATATACAGTAAACAAGTATATGTAGTAAGAAATACAAAGGAGAAAGAAATGTTCTGCACTCTCAGTAAGCTTACTTTGAAGTTGAAAGTATATAATTAAGATACATTAAAATTGCAGTTTGAGGCCAACCTGATAGCTCAGTGGACTAAGCACCTACGTTGACAAGCTCAGGGACCAGCCCTGGTCCCACATGCCGTTCTGGGCCCTTCCCGGGGTGCACTGAGCCAGCGAACAAGTCCGGGTGTGGTGGCACATGCCTGTTATCCCAGCACTGGGGAGGCTGAAAACAGAAGGATCGCTATGAGTCTGAGCTACGTGGTGAGACCCTGTACCAAATACATTAAAAAATTAAAATTTATTGGCCATGATAAGTACCAGTGTCTATTATCTACCTAGTAACCAAGTTTTACTAGTTTATATCTTACAAATTAAATTTTCCATTTCTTTTACTAGCATGTACCAACTATAAATAAGTATTTATATTGAAAAGGTTTGTTTTTCTTCTTTTGAGTATTAGATAATTCAAAAATGGCAGAACTCTTCATGGAATGTGAAGAAGAAGAGCTGGAACCATGGCAGAGAAAAGTAGAAGAAACACAGGTTGAAGATGATGATGATGAGCTTATCTTTGTTGGAGAAATATCAAGTTCAAAACCAGCCATTTCAAGTAAACATTTACTTCAGTTATTTTTATGAGACAGTTCTTTGTTTGCAATAGAAAAACATATGAACTATCATATATGACCTTGATACATTTTTCTGAAAGGAGCTGGAGGGGAGGAGGGCTAGAAGTTTAGTAAAAACTTGTATAATTATAGTGCGGATGTGGTTGGGGACAGGAACGAGGAGGTAAGGTTAAAATACCATACTTAAGAAAACATTTAAGCACTGTAGGCCTTCTGAAATCCTACTTTAAGGGAGCCATGTAACTTATGTCTTTAGTTTTTTTTTT